CTTGAGTTAAATTTGGCAAAATAACTATAGGCCTTTTCATGACAGCTTTCAATGCTACAGTATCAATATTCTTTTTGGTGTATAAATGCATTCGGCTTCGTTTAAATGGCATCGTAGAAAAAGACAACGATGAATCGAAGGACCAACTGGTTGAATACAACGTATCGATAAAGAAAATGGCGAACGTGGAACGCGAGTACACGAATGATGCCAACGAAACACGGACGACAAATGACGTGTTGTTGCACGGTTGCGCATCGATAATAACGCGTCGTGAAGAGAGGGTGGTGTACAGGTGTTGTGACGGGCTTGGACGACGGTATCCGACGGTGTAGTAAACGGAGAGAGAGCGCCACGGTTGAGAGAAACGTGACGCGGCGTCCGTGACGTATCCCCTCCGTGCTAGAATCATCGACGAAATCGTGTCATGGCGGCGGCGGCGACCACGGTAGCGATGGCAACAACGCCGACGGCGATCGTGGTGGTAAATGGCAACAGCGGCGGTGGCGACTGCATCATGCGTCACCGCCGGGAGGACGAATACTACGTTTTATGACCTATATGCACGCTACACACGACGTTGTTTATAATACAAATTCCTGCCAACCGACCGCAGGCGCCATTTTTTCAGATTGTGAGAAACCGGTTCAAGGAACAACTGTTGTATGCGAGCATATCTCTTTTGTGTGAGTCACGAAACAACAAGGAATATACGAGTATGGATGGATGTGATTCTCTATAACCGGACAAAAAACGTGTAGAAAATTTTCGAAGAAGTTCGATAAGGTCAAGACACGTGCACGTTATTTGACCTTCATACGGACAGCGAATTGAACAGCGTGTTGGTGAAGCAAACATTTCAGTAAAATGATAACAACCGAAATAAAAGTTGATAATATTAATGAAAATAAATAACATTGATATTGTGTACATCAATGTGGAACATACGTTTTCCATGGAATTACTGCAATAGAAACTACGAAATCATTTTCTGATTGAATATAACGAGCACGAAAATAATTATAAATACCACGCCTTGGATTGAGATCGAAATGAGAGTACGATGAAATTTATGTTGGTCAGGATGGTACAATTGTTTTTGAAAATTTCTTTCTTATCAAGACTTCCAAATAATAATTTGAACGAAAATAGATATTGAATATAATATATTATTATACCTATAACATATTGCAAGGGCATCATAACATATGTAACTAATGAATAGCATCATCCCATAATTTATTTACAATCCAACGTTTATTTTTAATCTTCATTCTTAATCACTCATAAATGTGTTGATATCATAATTAAAAATAAATAGGTAATACACAGTCATGCTCTCTGTCCGAAATTATTTAGACACTCATCCGTTAAATACGTTAATTAAATACCTTGGATTATTAATTGACCAACATTTAAAATGGAATTTTTATATAGAAAATTGTATAATAAAATAAAAGCAACTAACAAATTTTCCCTAACGTCTAAAAAAATATTAAACTAATACTACTTTAAAATACGTATTTTGCAATGGTTCAGTCTTTAATATGATACGACATAACCACATGGGAAGGTTGTAACACTATTTTAAAACATAATTTAACTGTAGCATAATAAGAGCCTAATAAAAATTATTCTGAAGTAAACTAAAATTATAACCTTCTAAGGGGTAATTTAAATTATTACGAGTAATCAATATTGAATAACTATTTGAAAAAACAAACAATATGTCTACTTTATAAAACTAAATCATTCAAAATCAAAAACAATATTAATTAAACAAATCTTTCTATTAAGTATTTTTTTTATTATCTTTCATCGGTATTTTGTTTTAATGAATGATGTGACACTTTTCTGATTGTATTCCTTCAACTACCAAAAATACAAAAAACATTTATATTTGTTTATTTTTTATTTTATTTTGTTTTTTTTGATTTATTATTATTATTTAATTTTCTTGTTACTATAAATTTAAATTCTTAATAAATATTCTGCTTTACCAAATAAAGTATTGCCGAAGTGTAAAGCAAAACTAGTTATTTAATTTATGTATATATTTTATTTTTTGTAAACTTATACCTACTAGCAAATATACATTCCATTACATATTAATATGGTCCTTAAAAATAAAATAAAGCCTAATATTCGTCACGAATCGGGTAAATATGTTTCTAGAACACAATTTAAAATAATATATTTACGCTGCACATTTTATACGTATTAACAGACTCGTAAAAAGATATCATAAATTAATTTGTTCAGTGACTAATACGTTGAAAGTGATTTAGAATTAAAACACTAATAGTTCAAACATTGTACCGATACATTATTATCTAACATAATATATTTATTCAAAACTAAATGCATTTAATAAATATGTAAAATGTGTTCTTAAATAAACATTTCCAAATATTCGAAACTAATATAATTTTTTAGATTGAATGTGTGCGTTTCAGTACGAATAATAAACGGTCAATTATTACTAAATACAATAATTTATAGAAATATTATAACATTGAAATTAAAATTTCCGACATTGTCTATAGAATTGTTGAAAATAAATTAATTTATAATTACTCTTATCACTAACAAATAATTCATAAACATTATGTTAGTAGAATATAGAGCAAGTCGATAAATTTACTAATAGCAGAAATGTATAGATAATGAAATAATACATCCAATGAGTTAATAAATTAAAATATAAAGACTGATATTATACTTAACATTTAAAGTACAAACCGAAAACATTATGAAACAAAAATACAATTACATAATTGAAATACGTATCAAGAAATCAACTAAAAAATAATGTTAGTATTCAAAATGTTGTAAACATTTAAACATTTATTTATTTTTCTTTCATCGATTAATCTATATATTGAAATATAAAGGAAACAGAGTTTTACTTGGTAATATATATTCGTAAATAGGTTAATATTATTTTAACTTTTACTAAATAATATGATGTACCAATGAGCAATTGTCTTTATTAAGTATTAATATTGATATCAATCAAGAATGCTGTAAAAATTTAATTTATAATTATAGTTTAAAATTGTTAAAATATGAAACGTATAATTTAAAGAATTTATATTGTAAACAGTAAATCTAAAATATTTATATAATTATATTGATATTAATTTAAAAATATCGAAAAATGATTAAAAAAAAAAATATGCTCAACAATCTACATAAAATTACCACAAATACGATTTTAGTGTATTTTTATTTTAGTTAGGTCATCAAGTTTATTTATTATTTGTAGATTTTGTTTAATTAGGTAATTAAGTAATTTTTTATTTACAAAATACCGAAAAATACTGCTGAGATGAGAAATATTGTTACTCATATATAAATAGCAAGACATGGATCACTTATTGTTTTATAATAATTAACACTTATACTACTAAATTAATAATAGGTATAAAAGAAAATTAAATCATAAAAATAAAGATTATAATTAAAACTAACAATAAGAAATTATTTGTGTAATGACATAATTTTGATTAAAAGGTAGAAGTTTTATATTAAATTGTGTATTTAAAATGTATTATTACATAATATTTCAGTTAATACTAATAAAATAAATAAATACATTTTATTATTGGGAAGAAAATTTAAATTTGATAAATATTTATAAATCAATGCCAGTTGTCGATATTTTATTTTTTTTAGTCGTTTAAAAAATGCCATTGAAAATAAATTAACTATTACATATTTTATGTATACAATTTATTCAAAAATTAATTAAGATTAATTATTTCTAGTAAAATTAGAATACTTACTAACCAAAACGAAATGTATTTTAATATGCTATTTGGTAAGTTAATTGTATATTCATACAAAAAAAAAAGTTTTTTAAATTTTTTTATGACCTTCTGTATTTTGAAGCAGAAAAGTTTATAAGTAATATCAGTTAATGCTTATTTAAGCCTCACCAGCCCACTTAGATTTAATACAAAATATATAATCAGATATTTTGTAGTAAATCAACACGTCATGAAAAAACCGCTATATTACTTAATAATATCATTATAATTTGTTCGGCGATATGATAATAAATGTTAAAAAATGTTAAACACTACTACAGAACCTAAAGTTGAGTAAAATGTTCTGAAATCTTGGTATGAGATATACCTAATGATTTCATGGTTTGTAATGTATATAAATTCGAGGATCAATGAGAAAACACAATATGTTATTATTATATTCTTATAATTCTCAATTAAAACGTTTAAAAATTTTGAATAACTAAAAAAAAATTAGACACTATTTTCAACGAATATGTCAGTTAAATGGATGAATTTAAATGATTCACTGCAAACCAACATAGTTCTACAAAGACTTCAACCATTCAACTAACCAATACTGGGCTAGTTAATGATATTTTTTAACTCAGTTAAGTTAATTGAGGTTATTTTCAAATAAGTTAACAATTAAGTTAATGCTCATGAGAATTACATCAATAAAGTTAAAAATTAAATTAAAAATATCATTAAATTAACTTCAATTAATAAGTTAAGTTAATTACAAAAAAAAAAAAAAAAAAACATTTAAATAAAAAAATAAAATAAGAGATATATATATATATATATATATATATATATATATATATATATATATATATATATATATATATATATTAACAATTTACAACAGATCTTATTTAACACTAACGATAGTGAAAACGCAAAAAAATCTTATTAGATTCTAATTAGAGTAGAAAAATTTACATAAATGTCAAATTTATGGTAATTTATGTACCGTTTGTTTTTATTCATTTTTTATACAAATCACATATGATAAATATAATTTAAAAAGTATTATTTTTAATGTTCATTAACAATATGAAAACTAAAAATAATTACTGCAGCTGAAAGTGTAACTATAAAATTATATAAACAATAAATGTATACAGTTGATACAAAACATTAATTAAATATATAATATTATTATTTAAATTTATTAAAATCTAAATAAATAAAACAATACAATGGACAAGTTAATTAAAATATCTGTTGAATCTCAATAAGAGTCATCTCAAAATGTTGATCAGCTATTAAATTTCTTCTAATTTAATAATATTTAACAATAT